TTTTAAAAAATTTTAATTTAAAACCAGTTTAAAAAATCGGTTTCGGTTAATCGGTTATAAAGTAACCCTAAATTGGTAACCGAATTGAAATTTGGTTTTTACATTTTCTTGAACCGAAACTAAACCGGTTTCAGCAGAATACCGGTTTTTTGGTCTGATTTGATTTCACATTTTTTTGAACAATCCTAACTATGAGGTCATAACTTAATAGAGATGTAGTTACAAAAATTATTGGGCTGACTTAGTTATCCTTTGTACAAGTGATATATCAGTAAAATATGCACTACATTGATAGTTAATTAATAAAGTATATCAAATCTAAGGTATAGACATTGACAAAAGAGATAGATATAGTTTCAAAAAACTAGTACATGTATCCATGTAGTGTTGGAAATATGCAAAGTTATCTTAAAAGTCTAAGGGCTTATTTGGTAGGTTATTTGAAAAAATGTTATCCTAAAAAACTATCTGAATAGGATAGGATAATCAATATATATATATATATATATATATAGGCTATATGATTGCCAATTTGAGAAGTTAGATTTCTTTCATTTTGACACGACTGTAGATTGCCCGACACATGGTTGCATTTGATTGGTGATGATGTGGATTGTTTACATTTGGCTGGATGTTATTAGTGATGATGTAGAATAGATTGATGAGTTGTATTTTATGGTAAATTTGGCTTCATGTAATTGGTGTTTGATATTGTTTGTTATTAACGACAAGTATTAATAACCTTATTGATTGTTGTTTGTTTCACATTGACAATAAATATTGTCATTTACATTTACATAACCTTATACACATAACGTTATTGATTGTTGCTTGTGTTGAGTTGAAGACATGAAACGGTGCTGTTTTGGCCATAAGTGGTGTAACGTCGTTTTGGGAGCTACTGAATTGAATCCTGCCTGTTGATCAACTGCAGATCCAATGGCTGAAAATCAACAATATGTTCAACACTATATAAAGGAGCAAATTGGGAAATAGCTACAGGTTCTCTTCTTCGTTAATTTTAGAGCAATTGTTGAAGGGTTTTACTCTTGTTACATTCAATCTGTGTAATCTTGGTGAGTGAGTGTTTGGTTTTCATTCAAGTGAGAGGGGTTTTACTCTCAAGTTAATAGGGAATCTGATTGTGTTCTCTAGGTAGGATTACGGGAAAGGTTGAGTTGTATTCTTGAGTAAATGATCTTTGATCTGTGGTGTAAACTCTTGATTGTAATTGATTAGTGCAGCGAGCTCCTCTGATTCCGGAGCTCAACGTGGACGTAGCCTACCCAATCTTGGATAGGTGAACCATGGTAAATTTGTGTGTATTGTTGTTATTGTTTTGTCTTGATTGTGTGTTAAAGATTAGGAAGATTTTCATAACAGTGGTATCAGAGCCTTGGAGATAAGATCTTGTTTGATTTCTGAGTGACAAATTTGTTCAACTGAAAGTTTAGGGAAACCTAGGGTTTGTGAACAATTTGGGGCTGTTGTGTCTAGGCATCTCTTTAGCACTCAAGGGTTCCCAAATCGTAAAATCGAAGGTGAAATTCGTTGATTTGATATGTTCTTGGAAGTCTAGGGTTTTGTTGGGGTTATTAAGTCAGAAATCAGAATAGAACCTTTAGGATTAAAATCAGAGTGAATCTTGAAGTTTCTTTAATACACACACAATGTCTACAACTACTAGAATGGAGATTACCCAATAGGATGGAAAAATCGACTTCAGTAGTTGGAAGAAAAAGATGAAGGCACTGCTCTCCCTTAACAAGGTGGCTTTGGCTCTGGAGAAGAATGCTGAGAAGTGGCCTGAGGATAAGCTGAAGAAACTGAAGAGGCGTACAACCTAATCATCATGAACTTGGCGGACAATGTCCTACGGAAGGTAGATGGCCTAGAGACTCCTCTAGCCTTGTGGGGTAAACTCGAAACACTTTGCGCTTTACAATCTGCACCTAATCTTGCATTTTTAAAGGGTGTATTGTTTTCTTATAAGATGGATAGTTCTAAGTCTATAGAAGACAACCTAGATGAGTTTCTAAAGTTGACCTTAATTCTTAAAGGGACTGATAAGGAACTAGGAGATGCCAGTCTTGCTATGATTTCACTGAATTCTTTAACTGATGATTATTTGGTTGTAAAGAATGCACTGTAATACTCAGGGACTGTACCGAGTCTAGATTTAATAGTAGCAGGCTTAAAAGCTAGGGAACTTGAACTAAAAACCCAAAGAAAGAATGGAAGCAATTTGTTTGTAAAGAGTAAAGGTGAAACTAGTCAATCTAGTAAAGGAAACCAGTATAATAATGGTCTTAAGAACAAGAAAAAGGGTAAAGGAAACAATAGGCCTAAAGGAGAAAACAGAAAATGCTTTTATTGCAATAAAACAGGTCACTTAAAGAAGAATTGCTTTGAATGGATTAAAAAGCAAAAACAGGGAAATACTGAGAGTAATATAGCTTCAACTAAAACCCACATAGAAGAGCCTGAAGTACTTACTGTGTCAAAATTAGATTGTGTACATGAATGGGTGTTAGACTCTAGTTGTTCCTTTCACATGAGCCCTAATAAAAATTGGTTCCAAGATTTTGAACGTATGAGCATGAAACTGTTTTTATGGGTAATAATAATGCATGTGGGGTTAAGGGAATAGGGAGTATTACACTAAGGCTAACTGGTGGGAAATTGGTTAAATTGACTAAAGTCAGATTTATCCCTGAAATAAAAAGAAACTTAATATCTTTAGGGACTCTAGATGAATCTGGTTGTAGTTATAGAGCTGAAAATGGATGTTTGTTTGTGTACAAAAATGAGAACCTTGTCCTTAAAGGAGAAAAGAAAAATGGCTTGTACATTTTCTGTGGTAGTTATAATTCTGAACTGCACAATTCTGCTCTTGTCTCTACTAATGTTTCTATAACAGAAAAATGGCACCTAAGATTGGGCCACATGAGCCAAAGGGGGATGAACATCCTCAATAGCCAAGGGATGTTTGGTAAGGATACAATTTCTACTTTAGATTTTTGTGAAAATTGTGTGTTAGGAAAACAACACAGGTTGAGTTTCAAAAGGGAACTCACCTTGCTATTAAGTGCTTAGAGTACCTTCATTCAGACTTGTGGGGACCTGAAAAAGTTAGCTCCCATGGAGGAAATAGTTATTTCCTCTCTATTGTTGATGATTATAGTAGAAAAGTCTGAGTTTTTCTTCTTAAGTCTAAAGACCAGGCCCTAGTTAAGTTCAAAGAGTGGAAACTTCTAGTAGAAAATCAGATGGATCATAGAGTCAAAGCATTAAGGACAGACAATGGTCTAGAATTCTGCAATACTAAATTTGATAATTTTTGTAGAGAGAATGGTATCCTAAGGCATAGGATTGTTAGAAAAACCCCTTAGTAAAATGGGGTTGCTAAGAGGATGAACAGGACTTTATTGGAGAAGGTTAGGTGTCTCCTCTTTACCTCTGGTCTGCCTAATACTTTTTAGGGGGAAGCACTAACCACAGCAGCCTATTTAGTGAATAGGAGCCCTTCCACAGCTATAGATCTATACTGTCCAGAAGAAAAATGGTCGGGCAGAAGGCCTGATCTGAGTCATTTGAGGATTTTTGGGTGTGCAGCCTATGCACACACTGTAGGAGGAAAATTAGAACTTAGATCTACTAAGTGTGTCTTCTTAGGGTACCAAGAGGGAACCAAGGGCTATAGATTGTGGGATAAAAGGATCTCCATGGATCAAAATCATAGTCAGTAGGGATGTAGTGTTCAATGAAGGGGTATTCCCATGTAACAACACCAATCATGGTGGAGCAGTCCCAAACACCTCTGATACTCCCATAACCTCAGCTGAAATTACCTAAATTGAGGTGGAGCCTACTGTCCAACCTCCTGAATCACCCCAACTAGAAACTGAAGCTGTAACTGAAGCTGAAACAGGGCCAAATGATCTTGCCCAATAAGAAGTTGCTGAACCAGAAGAGCCCTCAGAGGCACAGCAAGACTTGCAACAATATCAACTTGCAAGGGACAGAGTTAGGAGAGAGGTAAGGCCCCCATCAAGGTATTCTTATGCTGATTTAATTTACACTGCCTTACTTGCAGGTACTGAGGTGCAAAGGACATAACCTGAATCCTTTGAAGAAGCTGCAAATCCAAAGGACAAAGGCAAATGGTGGGCAGTAATGAAGGAGGAAATGCATTCATTGGAGGTAAATGGGACTTGGTCCCTTGTTCCTAAACCTGAAAATAAAAGGATAATTCAATGCAAGTGGTTGTTTAAAATAAAGGATGGCATCTCTTACAAAGACCCCCATAGGTATAAAGCTAGGTTAGTAGCCAAAGGTTACACCCAAAAGGAGGGTATAGACTTCAATGAAGTCTTTTCCCCGGTAGTAAAGTATAAGGCCATTAGGATGATGCTTTCTATAGTTGCTCACCACAACTTAGAACTGGAGCAACTAGATGTAACCACAGCCTTCTTACATGGAAATCTAGAGGAAGAGATATTCACGAGTCAACCCCTTGGTTTTGTGAATCCTAGAATGTCTAACCATGTATGCCACCTACACAAGTCCTTGTATGGCCTAAAACAATCCCCTAGGCAATGGTACAAGAGATTTGACTCATTTGTTGTAAGCATAGGGTTTACTAGAAGCAATTATGATAGCTGCTTTTATTCCTCTTTGAGTGATAACATGCCCATTTATTTGCTGCTCTATGTGGATGATATGTTATTAATAAGTAAGTCTAAGGAAAAAATACTTGAACTAAAGGGTAAACTTAGCTTTGAATTTAGCATGAAAGACTTAGGGGCTGCTAAATTTTGGGTATGGTTATAAATAGAAATAAAAGGAACTTTGTATTAAAAATACATCAACATTCATATTTGCAGAAATTGGTTGATAAATTTGGGATTGCTAGGTCAAAGCTGGTCTCTATGCCTTTAGCCAGCCACTTCATGTTGAGTAATGACTAATGTCCAAAAATTGATGTTGAATTGATTAAAATGGAGTGTATACCATATGCTAATGATGTAGGATCTGTTATGTATGCAATGATTAGTACTAGGCCTGATTTGTCATTTGCCATATCCATGTTAAGTAGATTTATGTCCAATCCAGGGGCTGAACATTGGACTGCTTTAAAATGGGTGATTAAACACATTAACAGTACACTGTGGGTTGGATTAGAATATGGAAAAAGGGTTACTTCACTTGATTTGGTTGGTTTTGTAGATTCTGACTTTGCAGGTGATAAAGACACAAGGAAATCCACCACTTCTTATTACTTTACCCTTGGAGGAAACTGCATAAGTTGGAAATCACAACTACAACCCATTGTGGCTTTCTCATCGACAGAAGCCGAGTACATTGCAATTGCAGATGTATTCAAGGAGGCAGTATGGTTAAAAGGAATCCTATCAGAGCCAAATTTGACAAATGGAAAGGTGACAATCTACTCAGACAGCCAGAGTGCGATCCATTTGAGCAAAAATCCGGTTTACCACGAAAGAACCAAGCATGTGGATGTACGCTATCACTTTGTGAGGGACTTGGTGGCTTCAGGTGAGATTGATTTGAAGAAGATTGCTATTGAAAACAATCCAGCCGATATGGGTACTAAAGTAGTCACAGCAGCCAAATTCAAGCATTGCTTGAATTGTTGTTTGTAAATTAGGCTGGAGCATTAGAGTGATGAGGGACTTGGATTTGAGTGAGCTGCACTGATTAATGGTTGGTAGGATGACTGTTTCAAGTCTTCAAGGTGGAGATTGTTGAGTTGAAGACATGAAACGGTGCTGTTTTGGCCATAAGTGTTGTGACATCATTTTGGGAGCTGCTGAATTGAATCCTGGCTGTTGATCAACTGTAGATCCAATGGCTGAAAATCAACAATATGGTCAACATTATATAAAGCAGCAATTGGGAAATAGCTACAGGTTCTCTTCTTTGTGAATTTTAGAGCAATTGCTGAAGGGTTTGCTACATTCAATCTGTGTAATCTTGGTGAGTGAGTGTTTGGTTTTCATTCAAGTGAGAGGAGTTTTACTCTCAAGTTAATAGGGAATTTGATTGTGTTCTCTAGGTAAGATTACGAGAAAGGTTGAGTTGTATTCTTGAGTGATTGATCTTTGATCTGTGGTGTAAACTCTTGATTGTAATTGATTAGTGCAGCGAGCTCCTCTGATTCCAGAGCTCAACGTGGACGTAGTGAAAGATAGATGCATGGAGAATCAAGCATATCATACTATAACAAGTATAGTCATAGTTTAAAAATAAATTTCAATCAAATTGAAATAAGTAAGGTAGAACATGTTACCTTAAGCCCTTAGCAACCTTGGAGACTCTTAATTTCAAGAGAAATTAAGCAAAAGAGTATCTACACCAAGGGAAGAAGAGATTTGACCAAGAGGGAGATTTAGGGTTCTTAGAGATTTTTTTCTCTACACAAAAATTGATATATCATTTTCTTTATATAGGAATCCTTGTAAACAATTCAATAATTGTTTTGGACTTCCTTAAACAATTCCATAATTGTTATGAAGTTGTTAAACTTCTTTAAATGATAACATTGGATTAACATTTAATCACAATTAACAATTTAACTCTTAAATTGTTTACATAACAATTTAACCCTTAAATTGTTTACAATTACAACCCCTTGTAAAATCCAATTTAATATAAAGAAAATGATTAATATAAATAACTTTATTACCTTTGGTAGGTGCTAGCCAACCTTGGATAATCAACTCTCTTTGGCTATTTCTCCATTCTCCTTAGTTTTTATGTGTGACCTCTTAGGTTCACTGTGGCCTAGCCGTGGGCCCAATATCACAATCTATTTCGATATGTTTTGTCATAACTCTTTATGAACAAAACTCCCACTGATTATGGTAGGCATCTAGCAATGCTCCATAACCCCTAAGTCACAATGAAGGTATACTCCAACGAACCTTTTACAATCATACACGTTGTATAATCAAATCCTTCCGTTGTCTAATCCCAATTAAGAATGGATTCATGGTATGTCAAAATCCTTATCTTAATTTTAATTCAATACATATGGAACGTGTCACCATGAAACAACCTTTCATGTAACATTTTATATACCCCGGCCGGAGATTTCCCTTTTCCAATGTATCTTGACATTTGTCTAGGAACTTGATATCAATCTATACCAAGTCAACGGATCCCATCTTGACTATCACTTGTCCTCACACATAAACAACACATGGCCAAATCGGCTTATTAACACATGGCATGATTAGCCTCATGTTTATACACCATATGAACCATATGCGTTTATGCAGAATCCAACCGTGATATCTCAGGTCTAAGGATTAATAATACCCTAGTACGATCTTATGATAAATCATTGACTACATTTTAAATGTCCATGTGATTCATCATAAATGGCCATATTCGATAAACAGTTCACTAACCGCGTATCCATGCTAATGCCCTAGTGATATAACTTTTATAATCACCCACACCAATACCATCACATGATATTCTACGGAGGCATTCAGCATGCCTACTATGTAATATTATTGCCCAATTAATATTACCTATGTAGGGAATACTTTGATGATTTTGATCTTCTAAAGATTTGTATCATCCGGACATTTCACATGTAATACATATATATAAATGAAGCAATAAACCACATGTGAAATAAGAACACTTTCTTTTATTGATAAGATAAAATGTATATACAAACTATATACATTCACATATATATACAAAACATAATGCCTCGGAACCGATGACACGATTGGTTCCTAGGGCATACACTAACACGTAGCCCACCCAATCTTGGATAGGTGAACCACGGTAAATTTGTGTGTATTGTTGTGGTTGTTTTATCTTGATTGTGTGTTAAAGATTAGGAAGATTTTCATAACAGTTTGTTTATAAATTTATGTGAATGTAAGGGATCTTATACGTTGTATGTTATTCACAATGCATTTATGTGAATTTAAGGGGTTTGTGAATATGAATGGTTTGATAAGTTTTTATTTTGTTACATTGTATGTGTTATGTGTTGCTCTTTAATATAAACGGTTACAAATATTTATGAGAATGTGAAGAGTTGTATACTTTAATTAGATGTACATAGTATATATATGTAATTATTTGTCTAATTTGGTACATTATTACCAGCAAGAAACTGAGCAAGAAACAGAGGTATAGTTATTTGATATTGTAATTTGATAAGTTTATATGTCATGTTCTTGCCACTTTATTGTTTATATTTTTTTACTTATGTTCATGCCAGTTACTTTTTTCTTGAAATTTCATTTAGGTATATACAATTTATGGAAGGAACAAAGCTGCTGCTTATACATCTTAGTGAAGGTAAAGTTATTCCATATTGCATGAATCGACAACCGAGCTGTAATGAACCATTAGTATGTTTGTGATTATGCCGTAGGAATTCCACACGGCGAATCATGCAGAGCACCAGGGCGAACTATGTAGAGCACTTATTGATTATTCAACTATAATTTATAATTTTCAACATACAATTCAATTGTCGAATTATGTTGGTTTATTATTGATATAACAACTATTTTTTTCTCAAATTTGATTTAGGTATATACAATTTTTGGAAGAAACAAAACTGTTGCTTATTTATCCCTGTGAAGGTAATGATTGTTTTTATTTGTTTATTTTCATTAAAAATCTGGTTGACCAAATTATAATTACATATATAACAAGTTCATGTTTATATGTCGAACCATGGCGATGTTGTTGGACAAAATCTACAAGAGCGAACTATAATGATTAATATTATAGTTATGGTTCGGCCGTCAAACCATAATGTATCATTAGTATGTTTGCATCTATGTCACAAGAACTCGACACAGCGAAACATGCAGTTTTTGATTATATGGTAAAAATCCAGCTGTCAAACGATGCTGCACCACTATACGTTATTGATAATTGTCTTGTTTCCCCCTGCAGGCAATTTATTGCAATGTCTTATTGTTTGCTTAAAGATCTTAACCAATCACATGATGATTGGATAATCGTTGCCAGAGTAATAAGATGTGGGAATGTATTAATTTAAAAATGAATAACGATTTGTTTAGCATTGATATGGTTTTGATGGATGAATAGGAACAAAATATAAATATTTATGTTAGTTAAAAGTTTTATTATTTATAAATTACACATATTTGTTAATGCCTTTCAATTCTATTTGTTTTACAGAGCAATTTGATGCATGGAATTATTACAAAAAATAGGGTTCCTAATTTTAGAATCCAGCTTCATGAAGGTTGTATATATCTCATCAGAAATGTAAGGGTTATAGGACGTGCTGCTTCTTAGAGACATGTGGAAGGCACATATCGTATACAATTTCTGATGACCACATCTTTGAAGGAGATCAAAGAACCAAGAGTAGCCATTCCAAAGTTTTATTTTAAATTTTCAGGTATTCATGATCTTGAAAATAGATCACATGATACTACTTTATTGTCAAGTATATTTAGTTTTTCTTATGGATACTTCAAATCTATGAAAAATGAAGTTATATATTATATTTAACATAAATAATGATATGCAATTGTGATTGGTATTCTGAATGGAATAGGAGAAACTCAAGAAATTGTATCAATAAAGAGTAATAAAAGAGACATTAGACTATAGATTGAACAGTAAGTTTTTTTTTTCAATACTGGTACATCCAGCTATCAATTGATATAACTTACATCGTCATTAATTTCGGAGAAACAATTACTATATCTTTTTGGGGAAAAATCTGTGATTTGTGCAAATGGAAAATGGTAAGGCTATTGTTATGATAGTTACATCAACAAATGTGAAGGAGTTTCAAGGTAATTTAAACATATTATAGAAAATTATTATATTGTGAATAATTAACTTTTTTTTTTTGTGACATGCAGGGCGATTATTTCTGAATACAACTTCGGCATCAAGAATTTATGTAAATCTCAATATTGAGGAGGTGTATTCCCTGCAAGAAATGTAAGATATCAAGAAATTGTATATTATAATATTAAATGTTGTCTATGATTGATATCTTATGCATTGTTATTATTATAAAAACCAAAATAGGCCAGTTGTTCAATTGCAAAAGAGAATTTTCAATGAAGCACTGGTAGAAAAGGAGATGTTTCAGAATAGAGTGACATTGAAGCATATTACCGATCTGATGTGGTATAACAATGATGATCAGGTACAATCAGGTACAATATTTACTATGCAATTAAACGGATTATTAAAACTTTACTTTTTATATAAGAAATTCATTTGAATAGGTCATTACAACTTTATTTTTTATATAAGAAATTCATTTGAATAGGTCATTACAACTTTATTTTTTATATAAGAAATTCATTTGAATAAGTCATTACAACTTTATTTTTTATATAAGAAATTTATTTGAATAGGTCACTGATTTCACAATAAAGACTAAACTAAGTGAAATTGATTCTAGATTTGGTTGGTGCTATTTGTCTTGCAATTTTTGCAAGAAAAAGATCCTAGAGAATTTGTATTGTTAGAAATGCAGAAAAGAATCGAAATTCCCTAAGATGAGGTAGGTAAATTTTTTTTCCCCTTACTAAATTGTAGATTACAATTCAATTGTTAATGGAATTATTGTTAATGTTACAATAGGTACAAGATAAAAATGAAAGTG